AACAAAATCAGTGTGTGAAAAACACCAAGAGAATTCCCATCTCCTTCCTAGTGAGGTCTGAGGGCAGAAAAAGACCACATTGCAGGAACCAAATTAACATTTTTCATATTCTATCCCACACTTCATGATACTCTTTTTTTCTGCCATGTGTAGAAAATTTTCTAAGCTTCCTAAGGCAAACATTTTCTTTCTTTTCCTATGTGTGTATTTGTGTGTGTGTGTGTGTGTGTGTGTGTGTGTGTGTGTGTGTCCACAGGAGTTGTTTTGCTTTTGGGTGGGGGGTGTCTTGCTATGTAGCCTCTGAGGGACTTCGACCTGGTAGCAACCTTTCTGATTGTTGGGCTTACAAGTACTGGATTTACAGGCCAGCCCCATCACACCAGATAGTCCTATTATCCACGAAGGGTGGTTTTCTCAGCTGGGAGCTTCTGAAAGCCAGGTAGATCTGAGCTGCTAGCCCCCGGAGGTTCTGTTCCTAAGGGGTTAGCATAGAATGGGGGCAATTTAATCCTCAGTCACTTTCTGGGGCCAGGGGCTCCAAGTCTGACCTTTCCCTTTCAGGTGAACTTTGGGGTAAGGGGCTCTGGGAGCCATCTTAGTGTCTCAGGCCTGGTCTGAGAGGGAAAAAAAGAAAAAAGAAAGAAAGAAAGGTGTAGTCCCCACCCAAACCTGTCATGGAATGGGGAAGAGGCAAGAATTTATTTCCCTGGACCTCAAAATTATTAGTCTAACAGCAGTTACATTTTAACATTCTCTCTCAGAAGTATCAACAAGGCCTGGCTACCTGCCTGCCTTCCTGCCCAGAGAACCTAATTGTCTGAAGCCATCTTTGGGCCTGCAGGACCGCAGGGAAGAAAGGAAGGAAGATCCGTGGCCCAGATGAAAGAGGAAGATGAAGATTCTTATGGTGGGGCCGAAGGGTACCTGAGAACTTCCAGCTTAGGCCCAGAACCTGAGGAGACTTTGGGGAGCTGCTGGTATGAGCCCTCTTAGGAAGGAGAGGGGAGGGGGGTGCTAAGGGCCTTAATTTCAAGTCAAATATAAGCCAAGCTGCAATGTTTATGAGGGGAAAGGGGGGACTCTGGTAAACCAACTGGAAAGTCAGTTCAGTTACAGGGTAGGTAATAGAAGCCCTGAAACCAATACTCATGGTGTGAGAACTGGGTTGCTCATGACCCCCAACCTTGATGAGTTTCAGGGTCTCTGACCACAGTCTTGGGTCTTCTGAGCCTTGAAGTTGCCTCCCCAAACCACTTGCCTTGAGGAAATTAAAAAAAAAAAAAAAAAAGGTTGTGTGAGGGGGCTTTGGAGGAGACCTGGAGGGAGCCTTGGTGTCTTATGGTCCCCAAAGCAGCCGCTGGTGACTCGGACTCCCTAGTCTTGGGTTGGTTCCATATTGTCCTAGCCCTCTTCCCAAAGGAAAGTCATCTTTCTGGAGTGATCCCTCCATGCTTGGCTGTTTCCCCAGGAGTCCACGGAGGAGCCCGAGCAAAGGCACCTGGAAAAGCTCTGCTCTCAGGAGGCCCTTGCCTCTTCTAGCCCACCCTGCTAAGTCCACCAGGGGCAGAAGGAGTCAGTAGACTCATGGCCCTGGGCCTCAGACGAGCTCCCTTCACCTCTCTCCGGCTCCGTGTCTCTGGCTGGGTCCTCAGCTCTTCTGTACCCCCTCCTCCCGCCAGGCCTCTAGAGCCCACCTCTAATTGTCCTGATGGGAATAATCGGGGAGCGGGGTTGGCTGGAAAGGAAGGGGGAGGGGAGAACTGCTTAGCTCCACGGCCCCCTCCTCCATATCTTATCCGGGCTAGGGCTGGGGGGGACACACCCAGAACTGAGCTCTCAGACAGGGAAGGGGGGGGGTGGAGAGGAGAGAGACCCTAATGGCTATTCTCTGCAAACCCCAGCCTTCCTAGGCAAGACAAACGGCCTCATCTCCAGCCCGTGCCGGCGCTGCTGATAAATATTTAAAGCTAAAAGGCCCGGAGGAAGGGTTGGGGGCGGGTTGGGGGCTTTGAGCGCTGTGGCGTCTGCAAAAAGAGATCCGCCAGGGCCAGAGAGCACCGAGCAAAAACTGGGGGTGGGGGCGGCGCGCGGGGTCCCAGCCCAGACTTAACCAGCGTGGCAATGGCCGATCTGCAGCCAGGAGCACCCTGGACACAGAGAGGGGTGCCCTGCGGGGAAAGGGGGCCTTCCGGGGGACTGTGGCCCGGACGTTGCGACTCGGGACCGCTGGGTGCGCGGCGTTACCTGAGCTTCGCATCCAGGGGTAGATCCGGAAGTTATTCTCGGCCGCCAAGTCCGAGTCCCTCTGCTCCTTGGCGCCAGCCGCCTTGGCGGGGTCGCCCGGACACACCCCGGAGAGGTTCTGCTCAAAGGGCGCGCAGTGCATGTTGAAGGAACTCGGTTCGAGCCCGTAGCCGGCCGCGTAGACACCGGCCGCGCTCTGGCCCGCCATGCCCCCCCCGCCGGGGTACAGGCCCTGCACGGAGGCGGAGAACGGGGCGCCCGGACCTGCTCCATAGCCCGGGCGCTGGGGGTTGGAAGCAAAGGCGCAAGAAGTTTGTTCGGGAAAGGCTCCTGGAGCGAAAACCGAACTTGCGGCTGGATATTTAGAAAATAAAGCATTCGCATAATACAATGAACTCATAATTTGGCCGGATGATTTGTAGTCAGGGACGTTTTAGTGTCGGTTTTACGAGATTCCTTGATATATTACAGAATTAGAGTCCAGATTTACACCAAAAAGGACCCCCTTTTTCCTCTCCGGACCACGTGACCTTGGCCCACGTGATATCTCCTCGGCCAATGATCTGACGGCCTCCCGGCGGCTCTCAGTAATGTGGAAAAAATTGTGTGGCGTTGGATTTATAAAATATGATCAATAATGAATGGGAAGGCCGAGCTCTGCGGATTGGGGCTGGGGGCTCAAGGGCCGCTGTCGACCCCCGCGGGCTGGAGGCAGCTTGCAGGCGTGATTTGGGGAGGAAGGAACTGAGTGGAAGGGAAAATAAATAACCTCTGAGCGATCCGTGTTGTCACCCCCCCCCCACCCATTTCCCCCAGCCGGTTACAGAGCAAGAGACAGACGCAGGGATTGAATGTGCGCAACTTGGTGGGTGGGTGCTGGCCGAGTATTTATTAATCCGGGCTAATTCATCCGGGCTGCTGCTGTTCTCCTAAGACGAGGGACGAGGTGAGCCTGGCCTCCTGGTCCTCTCTTAGTGCCCCAGCTGTAGTGACTGGATGTGGATCAAGGCTTTCCCTAAGGCAGGAGTCCAACCCAACAGGCGTTGGGACGCTGAGGTTTCTGGTGACTACAGAAAAAAAAAAAAAAAAAGGATTGCCAATAAAAAGATATACAAAAAAATATTAATAAAAAGAACGGGATGGGGGTGGGGAGAAAAAGGAAGGGAGGAGGGCGGTTTGGGTCCGGCTCGCTGCTTTCCCGGTTCCGGAAGGCGGATGCCTCTCTCAGTGGAGCGTGGCTGCCAGCGAGGCAGAGGCAGCGAAGGAAGGGAGGCTGCGGCGGCCGGCGAGCCGCGGCCTAGAAACTGGGAGAAAGTGGCGACGTCCCAGGGAGGGGATGCAGGGAGGAACCCCTTCCCTCTGCTCCTGGGTCCCCAACCTGAGTCGGAGAAAAATGGAAATATAAACTCAGCGGCCTACTCCACCTCCCCCCCCACTCCCCCCGCCCCCCACCCCAGGACACACACGGAAACAAAGAGAGAAGGGACAGGGGTGCTAGCCCCCAGCTTGGGCACATCTCTTCTCCAGAGCGGCCAGGGCGCTGGAGTCTCCGGGGCCCAGCAGCCTCGGAACGCAAGGGGAGGGGGTTTCTTTTGGCTCCCCTCCCTCGATCCCCTCTCCTCCAATCACGTGCAGCCGCCTCCCTCGCCCCCTGCGCCTCTGGGCCTGGGGACTCGTACCACCTGCTTCCAGCCCCCGCCCCCTCCTCTCGGCGACCTAGCCTAGGCCAGCCCAGGAGCCTGCTGACCAGCTCTCCCCCCCCCCCGGTCTCCTCCCCCCACCCCAAGCCCTGCAAGGCGCCTGGGAGCGAATGAGGAGCGCCGGCCCCGGGCCAGTCTCGGGTTCTCGCTTGTAAACTTTATTGTAACTCTTCCGCCCTTTTCAGGCGCAGACAACAGAACAAAGTATAGAGGAACAACAAAATATATAATTAGCCCTCCCTCCCCCCAATAAAGCAATTCACGGATACAGGATACATTCTCTTCACAGCAAACCTAAGAACACTTTTAACAATTGCTCACAGCGCGCATGCTAACTAAAGTAATCTCTTTTGAGAAACACTTAAGACAAAATTGTCAAACCAAAGGAAGGGGGGGGGGGGACAGGAGGAAAAAGAGAGAAGCAAGAGAGAAAGCCAGCGAGCTAGGGGGGGGGCAGCGGGGAGCGGGGTCGCGAGGAAAGATGAGGACGCGGTGGAAGAGAGAGAGAGAGAAAGAGAGAGGAGAGAGAGAAAGTGAGAGGGAGACAGAGAGAATTACGGCGTGAATAGGCAGTTTCATGTTGTTGGGAGAACTTCGCAGAAATCGGTACCTTGGTCATTACAAAGAAGCACGTTCAAAGGAAAAAAAGACCATTGCACAAGGAGGCTTTTTTACATGGGGTGGGGGCGAGGGGGGCTCTGGCAGGCAGCAGTCGCTCACCCTCGCAAGGCGAGGGAGTCCTTGTTTAAAGTCCTTTTCTTTTTTTTTTTTGTCCCCCCCCCCCCGGCCCCCAAGAGAAGGGAAGGAGATCCACGGTAGCTCACACACAGAAGCTATTACGAGATACTACCACTAGCGGGGACTGGCGCGGCGGGGGACGCTGCGGTGGGAGGCCCAGCTCCTGGCTCCGCTCGCGGGCCGGGGCCGGAGCACTCGGAGGCGGGGGAGCGGGCGACGGCGACGGCGGCGGCGGCGGCGGCGGCGGCGGCGGTGTGGTCGCGGGAGGGACCGGCGGACGTGCGGGCAAGCCCCGGCCCAAGCAGTCCCAGCTGGAGCCTACTTCTTGTCGGCCTTCTGCGCATCGCCCTGCTCGGCGGCGGTCTCCGGCGCCCGCTCCAGCTTCTCTTTCTCCAGCTCCTCCTGCTCGCACTTACTGCTGGGGAACTTGTCTTTGTTATTCTCTTTTTTCCACTTCATCCTCCGGTTCTGGAACCAGATTTTGACCTGTCTCTCTGTTAGTCCCAGCGCGTGCGATACCTCGATCCTCCGCTTGCGAGTCAGATAGGGATTAAATAGGAACTCCTTCTCCAGCTCCAGGGTCTGGTAGCGGCTGTAGGTCTGGCGGCCTCGCCTGCGTCCGGCGGCTGCTGGGAATGGGGGAAAGGGCGAGACAGAGGGGAGGGTGGGGGAGGGGGGCAGAGACAGAGAAGGTTGGAAGATTCGTGAACCAGCCTAGGAGACCAGGATAATGAGGGCAGGGGACCCTTATGCGGGGGCGGGAGGGAGCGCTCGGAGGCCGCGGTCAGCAGGGAGGGGGGGGCCGAGGGGGACTAGACAGCCCTGAATCTGCGGGGGCCAAAGAGGGGGAGCCCCTTCCCCTGGTAACCAGCACCAGAATGGGGGGGGGTGTTTCAAATATATTAAAAGTGCCATAAAGTTTAGGAGGAAGGATGTGGAGAAGAGAATAAGAATAAGAAGCCAGAGTGGGGACCCACGAACCCACCTTGAAAAGCCCCCAGAGCCTCTGCCCCAGAAGAAAAGTTTCTTCAGGGTAATTAAACTATAAAGCAATTGAGAAGTGCAAACGCTGAGCGCCCCCACTCCCACCGCTCTTTCTCCACAGCCCCCATAAAACAGTAAAAGGGGGGAAGAGGGCGAGAAGAAGAAAAGTAAAGGAGGGTGAGGGGTTTATGGATTCAGGAAATTCGATTAGCGACCCCCCCCTTCAAAGGAAGCAAAAAGAAAAGGGGGGAAAAAAGAAAAGAAAGTGGGAAGGAAGGCAGAAGAGGTAGCTGATTGGAACGGAGCCCACAAGTCCTCTAGGAGCAGAAGATGCTCCCGGCCTGCCCAGCCCCCCTCCCCGGGCCGGCCTGGGGTCCTCCTGGCCCCTTCCCACCCCGGTAGGCCCGGCGGGAGCTCACCTTGAGGGCGCATCCAGGGAAAGAGCTGTGTGGGCGACGGGCTCTGCTCAGACCCCTCGGCCTCCTCGCCCAGGCCGCTGGCGGCCGCGAGCTTGCAGTCTGCGTACTGCACCAGGTCTGGATCCTGCGCACCGAACAGGCTCTGGCGCTGCAGCGGGTCGTAGCCGTAGAAGTTGCCGGGGTCCCCGTGGCACGCCACGGCACACGGGTTCTGCTGGTAGGGAGCCGTGGACAGCGACGATGGCCCGTGGTAGAACTCCTGGATTTGCGACGGGTGCTGGAAGCTGCCGCCGCTGCTGGGACCGTACACCACGGTGGGTCGGCCGCCCAGGTCCTGGGCGAAGCCGCAGTCATAGTAATTGGGGCGCAGGGACTCCCCGGTTTTGTATTTGGAGAACAGTGAGTTGACGAAATAAGAGCTCATTTTATTGAATTTTGAGGCGGCGGCGGCGGCGCAGGCTGTAGTTGGGGGCTGTTGGGGAGGGGGTGGGGAGGGGGAAAGGGAGGGAGAGAGAGAGAGAGAGAGAGAGAGAGAGAGAGAGAGAGAGAGAGAGAGAGAGGAAAAAAACGCGGATTCGCCGGCTCCTAGTCACCCTCGCCTGGAAAGGAGAGGAAAAGGGAGGAGGAGGGGGGAAAAAAGAGAGAAGGAAGGAAGGAAAAGAAAGAAAAGGCGAAGAAGATCTCGAAGCCGCTACACTTTTTGTGATTTCCAGGAATAGAAGAGCGAAGCCTGCAAAAGTCTAAGCCTGCATGGCAGCCGCGGCTCGCTCGCCCTCCCCCCACCCCCCACCCCCCAAACAAAAATATACCGCCACTTAAAGAGGTCCTCGCTTTACATTTCGAAGAAGGGATGCCAGTTCATAAACAGTTTTCGGTGATTTACTTCCCTCCAAATGAGTTGTTTCATATTTTGCCCCGTCTTTTCTCCATCATTTGCATCCATTAGAGACCCCGCATCCTATTGGCTTCTGGGTACTCCTCCCGGACAGAACGCAGAGCGAGGGTGAGAGCGAGAGAGAGCGAGCGCGAGAGAGAGCTAGAGCGAGAGAGCGAGCGCCAGGGAGTGAGGAGAGGGCAGGGGAAAAAGGAGGGGAAGGGGGAAAAAAAACACCCAGGGAGGGAGAGGGGGAGAGGGGGGAGAGGGAGGGGGGAAGAGAGAACGAATACGGATTAAATCTGTTTAACTACCTACATTAATGAGATATCTCTTGCCTCACAACAAATCAAATACCTTCGCAGACCACCCCCAAAGACTGATGTGGGGGAGTCACGGAAAAGCACCACGCGCACACACATCCACAACGCCGCGCCTGGCGTAGGCACGCTGTTAATTTCGCGATTTTAACGAGGCAATTGGAGTCTTTCTAAATGTCAGGGTCGCTTCGGAAAAATGTAAAAGAACACGGTTTAATTGCGCCGAGTTTTAAAAGGTCCTATAAATGTAATTGGTATTTTAATACAAGTTATCAAATCATACAGCTTCCTCTCCTAAACATATTTTCAAACAAACGAGGTAGTCATATTTAAGGCTTTAATGATCAATTTCCTTATTATTGATAAAGGTTTAACTATCGTGTGGAGGGAATTGGCTGGGTAACCAGCCCCCAAAAAAACGGCTGTAAACTCTTTAACAAACTATAAAACGCAATAAAGCCGGAGTCTGTTGTTGTTTATGCCGCAGCGCATAAAAGCTGTTAGCATTTTACGAGTTCTTTCCTCTACAGCTATAAAACTGCAGCTTCGATCGCCCCCGCCGCCCAACTGAAGCGCGGTGGGGGTGACTAAGCTGAAATGAGGCGATTATGGGTTGCTGCTGATTTTTTTTTTTTTTTTCCCTTTTCGGCGCAAACGGTGAGTTTCCCGAGATTTTTTTGCCTCCTTCAGCCTTGCAGACACACCTGCCCCCACACCCTCTTTGGAGACCCCAGCCACCACTACCACCACCCCAAGATCTGTCCCCGCCCAAGTCACAGACATAACTTTCCCTCATTAAGCCAAGGGCACAAGGATTTTCTGTGGAAAGGGGGCCTGAGTGGGCCTGGGAGAGGAAGAAGAAACTTTCTGGTTAATGGACGCTGCTGAGGCAGAGCGAGGTTTGTGCTGCGCGGAGGTTGCCAGTTCTGCAGTTTGCCCACGCTTTTACCTGCTGGTGGTCGGGGAGGGTGCTGCAAGGGAAAGAGAGGGGGGGTCTTGAGGGACTTTGGTCTACTCAGCACTTTCGAGGGAAGACTGGGGGAGAGGAGAGGGTCTGCTAACTATCAAAAGGACCATGGCTGCTCCACACCTGTGCCCAGAGCTTGGGATCCAGTTCCCCAGCCCCGGCTGGGGCCAATCCTCTAACCCTGCCACACAGACCTGCCAGGTGTAAACACTGACAATTTCATCAACCCACCAAAGAGGTAAGGGCAACGGAGGCTGAGCCTGGGCGTCAAGGCCTTGGTGACTGCCATACCCTCCCGTGCCCTAGGCAAAGGCTGCGAGGCGTGTGTTTAAAGGGTACCTGTTATTGCTGTGTGTCCCCGTGGCCAATGACCACCTGCACTGACCTTGGGTAAAGGGGTTCAGATAAAGCAAGGCCACTGAGGTCTCCATTTTCCTTTTTCTCGGGGTGCCTTTAGTTAAACCCTGAAAATCCGAAGATCTGAGGCCTGAAACCCAGACCGAGGAACCGAACTGACTGGCTGCCCCACTCCGAGCACAGAGCCTTCCTTATCCGTGTACCTGACACAGGCTGGTGGCAGAGAGACCTTGGGAGGCCCAGGGCGAGAGTCAGAACCAGTGGCCTCCTGAGGCAGCGGATGTGCGAAAGGGCCGGAGAGACAGGGAGGAGACAGACTTTTTCTAGAACAAAGGCAGAATCGATTTTACCAATAAATTCAATCTATTGCTGACTCTCTAGGAGGCTTCTTTTGGGGATCCCCTGAGCCCCAACCTTTGTAAAAATGAAACCACAACGTTTCCAAGGGAGCTGGCTGTTCTGCCGGTTTTCACTCAATCTTCTAAAGTAAGTCCCGCGAATAAGAGGGGGACGAAAAGAGGGGGACAGCGGGAAAGGGGGTTTTTTAGCTCAGGGCTGAGGGGACGGTGAGGCAACCTAAGGCTGAGTCAAGTTGTTGCGGAAGCGAACATTTTTGTCAAGTGCGGGGGATTTTATGGTCATGATTTGAGGAGTCACTGGTGAGGTAGAAATTCAATGGCTTGTTCTAAATCATCCCTTCACCGTGCCAGAAATTTCTGATGGAAGGAAAATGTTTCTGTTATAAGAAAAAACAAGAAAGAGCGCGGAGATAATTTATAAACACCCAACGGAGCGCAGATTTATTGGAGAAACTCAAGTTGAGACACTGGGCGGTTTCTTTGCACCTGGTCCTGCGGAAAAAGAAGAGGCTAGAGTTGGGGTCACGGAGCGGGGGGGGGGGGGGTGACTTGCTATTCCCCCCACCCCAGCTCAAGTGGGAGGCAGGTTCAGGCTGGGCCTAGAGGAGGAAATCGAAGATTGGGAATCAGCCCAAGGGGTTGTAGGCAGTCAGAGCGCCGGGCGGCCTCGGAACGAAAATCCAGGCCTCCAGCTGCTGCTGCGTGGCAGAAGGACCGGCTTCCCCACGGCTGGCCTGAGCAGGGGGGCCAAGGCCAGAGCCTGGGCACGCGGGAGAGAGCCGCGGCTCTCACCTGGAAGCCCAAGAAAGGGGGAAACTCAGAGGCTGCTCCCCCAAGGCCATGCCTGCCCCTGCTCCTACCCAGAAAATGCTCAGGCTGTTGGCTGAGCCTCCCAAGGGCGACAGGGCTGTCGCAGCGGTTCCCTCATCCCACCTCCCTAGGGAGACCCTGCTGGAGCCTGGGTGGCCAGGCACTCGCCCAGCCGGGACCTGGACGGGTACAAAGGCTCTGGAGTCAGAGCCCAGGAGCAGCGGGCTCTCGGGCTTGGGGCACCTCGGAATCTCCATCAAAGCCGGGTCCCCACTCCTTCCAAATTTGGGGATCTACTGGGTAGCACGTCGAACTCGCTGTCCTCCAGCAGGTGTGGCGAGCCGGCCTGGGGTCGCTTCCTCTTCAAGAGACCTGCGGGCTCATCCCTCTCACCTGACCGCTGGCCTACCCTTCAGTCCTCTAGCCTCCACTGCAGGGAAATCTCATTTCTCCAAACCAATTCGCCTCCTTGATTTGGGCCCATTATTTCCATATTTCTATTATTAATATTACCCCCGGTTTCCACGCATTTCTCGCCCCACCAAACACAACAACTGGGAAACGGCCTTCTTAGTGTGAGGCGTTCAGAAAATGAACCAGTTGAGGAGAGAGAGAAACACCACTATAACTGAAATACATACAATAGGGAAAGGGCCATAACAAACCCTGTATTTTTATTATGTGCATATTATTCATGACTTTTGGTAGCTCTGAGTTCCCAGATACAGGGCCGAACAGAGTGCTGTGTGGAGCCGCAGGAGCCCTCCACCACAGCCCTGGAAAAATTCACATGGAGCAAGGGTGCCATCTAGCGGCCGCTCTGCAAAAAAAAGATGTCCTCCGTCTGCTCAGCCCGATTCTGGAGAACCAGCAGAGGAAGCGACAAACGATTAAACTTTCATTATTACTAGAAATAGGGGAGAGGAATGAAAGCAGATAAGAGAGAAGGCTTCGGAATCAGGAAACTGTTCATGAAACAGTTCAGATAAGTTAAAAGGAAAAGAAGCTATAAATCCACCCAGCCCCTAATTCCTGCTGGAGATGCTAAGCAGTGCACTGTTTATGGGCAGTAAGAAGAGGACCACTTTTAAGCCCTACGCTTGATTGTTTCACATCCTGAGGGGTAACAATTGGCCTTTTTGTGAGGGACAGGAAGGTCTGAGGTGATGGAATGGAACTGGAGAAGGATCAAGAGGGGCTACTCTTTCCCCAGACGTCTGGCCCTGCGGGGTCGTGTGTGTGCATGTGTGTGTGTGTGTGTGTGTGTGTGTGTGTGTGTGTGTGTGTCCCTGCGTGTGCAAGGGTTTCTTGTTTATGACTGGCGCTTCTAGAGGGGGGTGTGTAAAGAACAATGACAGCAGTCAGAATTTCGATGGCTGAAGCTTTGGGGACAGCAAAGTGTTCGTCCTCCCGGCTGCCAGCTTCTCTACTTTTTACCCTCCCGGAACCCCATCCCACCGCCCTGATGGTTCCCAAGTTCCAGACCCCAAGCCCCAGACCTGGGGGCAAGAGGGGTCAGGGTGGGGGCTTCGTAACAAGGCCCACCTATTCTCCCACCAGGTCCGGAGCCCAGGCTCGTCCGCTGCTCATCTCCGGAAAGTTTTCCCCTCACTGTTTGCTTTGCTGCTGTTTAGTTTCTTAACCTTCAGAAATTTATACCCTATAAACTTTTATAGCGGTCATATTCTTTTATTGCTGCGCACACGGCATTGAATTCCTCTCCTGGCTTCTCTCTGC